GATAAAGACAATGGATTATTTCACATGTTCTTATATTATAAAGTTATATATTTCTGTTTATAAAGATATATAAAATATATAAATAGAATAGGAGAAACAAAATTTTTAAATCCAAAATTTTTTAAACACCCAGTTTCTTTGGATCAACTGGATTTGTTTGATATTTTTAGACATCACTTGTTAGCTGCCAAGTATGAACCATCGACTTGAGTATAAACACACAAACCCAAAGTCAACTTAATTAATGTTAATTAATTATTTTAATTTAAAATTATATCAATTTTTAACAATTGTTTATTGAATTTAAATTCTGGGAAATAAAATTAATTTATTATTTAAAGCACAGAACTTACGGCACTATGTGGCTTTGTGAAGTATAGATCTATGCTATTTAATTAATGGCCTTTAGTTTGGAGAAGTAGTAAGCCCGCACATTTTTTAAAATGACGAAGATATTACACAAATTATCAACTCTAAGATTTGTATTCCTTTAATTTTAATGGCTTGCCTTATTACTAAAATAGTGGTGCAAAATAATTTCTAACAAAAAAATAAAATTCCCATCGCAATAATGTTTTTATAATGATTTTTATTATGTTGTTCTGACTTATTTGTGGTCATATAGAGCATATTCCATTTGATGCATAACGACTACTCGATTGTTGATAAGAATCTCTAAAGTTTTTGCTGTACTAATATAAATTTTTGAAGTGGTGGTTTTATTAAGAGTCGAATAAACGAAAAATATTAAAACAATTAATGTAGATTCTGTAGTAGGGTTCTCAATTCGAAGTTTCAAGCAGTTGCAGTAGGACATTCGACTACTACATTCGACAGAGATTTTTAGCCTCAGCTACCATGAAGTTTTAATGCCTAAACTTTGATTTATTGTTTAAATTTATAAAACATGAGTACGGCACGAGGCAGGACTCGAGTTCGATTTCTGGTACTTGTAGTCTCCATAATTACTTACGAATAATTAAATATAAGAATTATTTCTAAGACCACTGATGAAGGGTATTTGGCAATGCTCGACAAAGTTGTATGGTCAGCCAAAAATTCAATTAATTAAAATAATATAAAAATGAATTTTTTTATTACTTTTCGAAAATTCTCTTTAATTTATAATACGCTAATAGTTCTATTGACTTGGTAGATTCCATCAGTTTATATGGTAAAGTTGTCATTACTCTCATCATTACTACTACAAAGCCTACTCACTCACGTCCTGCAAAACATTGGTTACCGTTGAGGATAAATGATGTATATTTCAATTATTTATATAGTTTATTATATAGTTATTGTTAAACTTCTTATGCTATATAATTAACTTTATTAACAAGAGAGATACTTTTATATAAAAATCTTAATAGAGGTACCACATAAATTGAGCGTACAAAGGAAAGACGTTAAATGAAAGCGCTATTCATAAATTATGTGTGTAATATCTAAATAAGTACATACAGTACAGTACAGTACCGTACTATGTACTTACTATACTATCATAGTATAATTATTTTATATTGAATTTTCGAAAAAATTAATAAAAATTCTGAAAAAAGCTAATCATTTAAATTAGAGTTTAATTTAAAAAAACAGTTATAAATTTCAGTGTCTAAATTTTTCATCGTACCGGTTAAAAATTATATATTGCTCTCTTAATTGTATAACGAAAATATATATATATAAAACATATAGTAAAAGTTGTAAAGTAATAAGTTAAAATTGCTAAAATAAAATATGAAAGGCAATATTACTATTACTATTGAAATTTAATTTAAAAGCTTTTCAACTACAATTACTTTTTATGAAATAAATTACTTGCTTAATCAATATTAAAATTTATAATTAAAAATATTTGTTTTTAAGTATAAATTGAATATACAAGTATATGAAAATACTTTTTAATTTAATAAGTAAATTAATTTAATTTTTTAATTTAATAGACTTAAAAGAAATAGTTAAGATAATTAAATTTATTTAAAAAAAATAATTATTATATGAGTTGTATCTTAAAATATAACGGATGAATGCGTTTAATAATGAAAAATAGATTATGAAAAAGATAATTATGCTGAAACTAAAAAAAATATCTACAATAATAGAATTCATTTTTAATAGTGCTAATGTAGTTTACAAGATATGGACTGATTGTCAAAATGAAAAATATTAATATTCTACTTCTATTCTATTTAGTTTTTTATTAAACATAAAATATTTTATTAAAGTCCAAAACCATTTTTCAAAACAAGAACTTCAAGAACTCAGAATTTGTCCTTGTACTCTTAATTCTATAATCTATATACAGCGAATTTTCCTATGAAATCCTGGACGTCTGTTTTGATTTTTACTAATACCATTAGATAATAAATACTAAAGAAAGTACTGATCTTATTGCGAAATATAAACTTCGAAAAATGGAGATTCATAGAAAAGGGAAAGATAGAACAGTGAGAAGATGCTATATAATTAGGTCTAACTTTTGACAAAAGATTCAAAAGATTGGTTAAAAAAAATAAGAACAAAAGAACTAGACTACTATGCGAATCTGAATGTCACATATACATGGTAAATTGACATATTTTAATAGAACAACTTTATTTACTAGTCTTTAAATGAACTTAGCTTACTTCTCGAAATTTCAAACTTAACAGTTATAAACTTTTTATATAGATTACAGTAACAAAAATTACAGATATAATCTGGCATTAGATATTATGAATACCCATATTTTCTTCACTAATATCTTTCATAAAAAAACTAAATGGCTTATTGCCTCATCACCTCCAAAATGGCTAAAATTTATTGTTATAAGTTTCATTTTTAAAATTAAAATACCCATATATTGAGAAAAAATTTTTAAAATTGCTTTCTAGGAAATACAGACCCATGCGTTAATTTTTAAAATATCCAATGAAAATTTTAATTTTTTATTTTTGATTTAGATTAATCTTAAAATTTTTAAAAGAACTAAAAGTTTTGTAATGGCAGGTAGGGTTCGAACAGTAATGAAGAAACCACAACAAAAATTTTGCTAAGTTTATTAAAATCTGGCTGACTATACAACGCTGACTCGTTTAAAAGAATAACCCATATGCAGTTTTTATATAGTTAACACAAACAACGGATAATGATGAGTAGGATTTTTAACTTGTTGTTAGTGAGTTTCATGTAAAATCTTTTAACTTTAAAATCAGATACCTAGATAACTAAACTATGTAGGCAGGCATAAAGCCAATAACTATACTGAAAACAATTGATCAAAGTAGTTATATTTACTAAAATCCGTTATCGAATTGCTAAGCCCAAAAAATCGAAATCTTGCCAAAACTTCTTCAAAAGCAAGTTATTAGATCCAAAACTGTTGTATGGTTCATCTACCATTAAAGAAATTAAAATTTAAATATTACGCTTACTGTCTGAATGGATAACAGCCTGTGTATGTCCCATTTTTTCACTTCCTTACTTTGTTTGCACAAGTTATTTTGTCAATTATTTTAGTCAAAGCACTTAAAAAGGCATTTTGCATAAAAGCATAACCTTTTTTAGTGAAAGTTTGACAATATTTTTTTTACGCTCGCTCTAATTGCTTATGCTGGTGATATAAGCAACTTTTAATTTTGTTATTAAATTAAAATTAAATTTTTTTTTTCGGATTTCTAAGTATTTCTATGTTGGGTTTTCTTTTGTCTTTTAGTAGGCGTAACTTTAAAACGCTATGAAAAGACATACACACTTAGAATGTATGAATTTAAAATGTTTAGAAATATTTTATAGACAAAGACCTTCAATTATTTGATACTGTTCATACTAATACTATTTTAAGGTTTCTTAAAACAAATATAATTTCTATTCAAATGGTTCACATGGCTTAAACATACTCAATTGAAAAGAATTAGCTGTCCCAAAATTCTTCATCACCTCCAACTGCTATTCAAAAATTAAAATCTTAATGCTACATAATCAAATAATTCGATCATCCTTTCTATATCGATATCTAGAGTTCAGGAAGGGCTCAAACATTACTATTCGCCAGCTAGAAATTGCACTAAGCTAGACTCTGAGAAGACTTTTCAAGGTACTATGGTACATTAGGACGAATGACATTCACAGAGATCTCAGAATTGATCCGATTAAAAAATACATAAAGGATAGAGCACTGAAATTATTTACGACAACTGACAGGCTTGCCAACACCGCGTTATTGAATCTCAGAATGTTAACAGGCTCCTCGGGAAGATATGCAGATCTGAGGTCAATTATTGCTTAGTCTGATGAAGTGATTAACAATAATCTAGTCAAGGCGCAAAGAGGGGTTTTGAAGAAATCTCGCAGTTAATAGAGAGTAAAAGTGCTCAAGTGCTCTGACTCAACTAGCCTCAACATAATCATGTGTTAAATATGAAATACTTTAAAATATACTTTTAGAAATTTAATTGAATAATTTAGTGTAATATGCAATTTGATCTTATTATCTATTACATCCACTCTTGCTTTAGAGACACCAATTCGTGCTCTATGAATCAACGCAGTTAAGTTTCACACAATAATTTATGTTATCTCTGTTCAGCGTTAATATCAGTTTTTTTCCACTACTATTTACTTTAAATTTGAAAATTATATTATAGAAAAATCATTTTTTATTTTATTTAAATATTGGAAATTGTTATTTCATATTTAAGAAGGGACGATAAACTTATCGTCCTTACTCAGAACTCATATTTAAATTCTTTATAAAATCTAAAGAATAAATGAACAAGTAAAAATAACTAAAAAGAATTTTATAAAAAAAAAAATGTAAAGAATGAAACAGAAAAAAAAAACTTTTTAAACAAATTCACAATTTGTCACACGTAGCGTATGAGTAACATAAAATGCAAATCTTGATTGCAGCAGCAAAAATTTGTTGCAATTCCTAATTTTCAACTTTTGTCGACATTATCGACAGCAAATATTTTTTCTTATGCATAAAAATTTCATAATCTGAATACTTGACTTACTCGCATTTGTGAGTATTCAGCAAGGAATGCGATTTGCAAAGTATCGCCTCCACGAATTGTTGCATTTTTGTTGCGCTGTGCAGCATCTGAGCTCCACACCAGGCAAATACCGCACGTTAACAAGAAATTTTGACAAAACTTAGCAGAAGTCATTGTGGACAGACCATTTATAATAATAGAGCTTATTTAAAATATGTGTCTTTTTAAGAGCTCTTTGAATTTTAATGTAAGTATAATATTAGTTTTTTAGTGAATAATATTTTTTATTTTAAAATATTATTTTTTTTCCGTCACTATAATATTATTTTTCTTCAAAATTTATTTTTAAATATATTGTATAATTTATATAAATACAATAAAAGATATATCATTGTCTTTCTTTCTGGTCTTTTTCAGTTTTTTAAATTTTTTTAAATAATTTAATTATTTTAATTTAATTTATTTAATTAAATTAAATAATTTAATTAATAATTTTACATTTTTATTTATACTTTAAAATAGATGCTTCAGTTCAATAATTGCAAAAAATTTATTTTATGTAAAATTCTCGCAATTATTTATATATATAATATCAATTAAAGCAATATCAACATTTAAAAATTTTTTATTAAATTCGTTTAAAGTTTAATTTAATTTCAATTAAGTTTTTTCAATACCAAAATTTTTACTAAATTCGTTTAAAGTTTAATTTAATTTTAATTAAGTTTTCTTCAAAACCACCTTATAATATATTTCTTAAATATTTTTTAATTTAATGTTTTTACTTTTTTAAATTATGCCAATTAAAGTGTCACAATGTAAGCTATCTTTTTATTAATATTTTAAATTTTTAATTAATTAACTTGATAGTACTTAAGTGTTTCTGTTTTAGGTTTCAAATTTTCCACCACTTATCGAATAAACAGTTCAACCACTTAATAAAATTTAATTTCATTAATTTAATTAATTATTAATTAATTAATTAATATTAATTTTTTCCATTTAATAATAATTAACAACGTCCTATGACAAACTATATCACTTGTTGCGAGCACAAAACATTACGTGTTACTTGTTGTTCACTTGGCAAATGGCAATTGGCTGGATATTTCTAGCTGCTTGCATGTTGTGCACTCGTTGCTATCCTTTCGGCAACTACACGAAACTAGGAAGATACTGTGCTTTTATATGCTGTACTCGTTGCTTTTCTCGTTGTGGCTGACGGCTTTGCAAACGGTCTATCGTGTGCCATTGTAGGTTTCGGATTTTGTGTGCCGCGATGGATTTTTATTTTGTCTCTCGGGTTTCCTGAATTTGGTGAGCTTAAATCGGTTGGTGTTTAGGTAGTACCGAGCGTAGGAGGAAAGGTTTGTTTACTTAGTTGTGGAGCAAACGACAGCATCATTGCTGTTATCTTGATTTTTGCAACTTATAATAGAAGTTGTGAATGTGGTTGTGGTCACCTCTTCAGAGGAAGCACGTGTGAAACTAGAGACTATGAATGAAGTTGTCAACTTACAATGCTTCTTAATTTGTGTACTACACATTTTCGATCCAAATATTTAAATCTTGTAACTAAAAAGTGTGTAAAATACTAACAACATTTTGTAATTAATTTCTAAACAGAATCATTTGAGTGAAATTTTAATGAAATTTTGAAAATAAACACTTATCAAAATGATTAAATTTTTGGTGTTAATAAAATTTGGTGTTATTAAAACACCAAAGATTAGATATTAGGTGAAGTTTGAAGAAATTCATTATCTCCCAACAAATGGCTTTAATTATCTGCATCATTCGTTGTATATAAGTCCGGTCAAGTTACGCTAGATGGCGTTAGAAAAAAAATTAGATGTGGCGGCAAACAAAATTAAATAATAAGTAGCTAACTTAGTAGCTGAAAAAACCGATATTTTTGCCGGAACGAAAACTGGAACCGAACCAATATATTTCATTTGTTTTGAACCGGAACGGAAAAAAATTCCGGTTCGATGCTCTGGTATAGATGTCAAGAGGTCTATTAAGAATTAATTAATAAACTTGTTTCATTCAAAATTTATGCCACAAAAGCCATAGAGATTTCATATTAAAAAAACTTTTAAGAGTTTGGTAATTGGTTGACTTAGTTTTATTTGATTGCGCGTCAAAGATGGATACTAGCGAAGAGAAAATACCCTATATCTTTAATTTCTTCTTTAATAAAAGTAAAACCGCAAACCAATCGGCTGAAAATGTAAATAGTGTTTATGGTCCTGATACTGATATTAAAACAGTTTTGACTTTGTCGATTTCGTTCCGATAATTTCGATGATGTAGATGCACCATGCACCTTGTCACGTAAGGCCAAGTGTCAAAAATATCGATGAAATCATGGAAATTGTCGAGTCTGACCGTCATGTAAGTACTATTTCGATTGGTTAAGAGCTAAAGATTGCGCAAAAAAAATCCAAAAACCGTTGCGAACTATTTGAATAAGTCTGAATACAAACAGAAGCTCGATGTATGGGTACCGCTCAAGTTAAAGTAAAAAAAATAAACCTGGACTAAATTTCTATTGGCTAATCGTTGCTTAATCGCAACAAAATCGACCCATTTTTGAAGCGACTGGTAATGGTGACTGGTGATGATAAGTGACTGGTAATCACTTACGACAAAGCCAAGTGAAAACAGTTGTACTCTAAACACGCTGAGTTGGTTAAAACGGTGGTCAAACCAGTATTGACGGTCAGAAAGATTTTGAGGAATTGGCAAGGAATCGTTTACTATGAACTGCACTCCTATAAGGAATCTGTCTGAATAAAACAATCGTCCAGAAACGGTCAGCTTTCGACAATAGGAGAGGAATTATGTTCTATTAGGACAACGCTGGTCCATTCACATCAATAATGACAAGCTCTGGCAACTGGGTTTCGAAGGTGTTATGCATCCATCATGCATTTTTATTTATCATGATTGTATGACATTTATTGTATTTCGACTATTTAGATATTTTAAAATTTATCTTATGCAGTTTGTGAGTCGATACTTTTGGCTTTGGGTATTAGACCTTCAAAATTTGATTATGATAAGGATTCGTATTCAAATTTATAGCAAGCAATTCCATAATTCTCGATATTTTTTATTAATAGTTTACATTCTTCAATTTTTTTGGATTTTTATTAAATTGAAATTAAGAAACCTCTTACTTTGAGTTTATTTATCGACTTAAAGTTTTTGTGCAGTTTTTCTATCGTGATTTTTTAATTATTAACCATTCTAATTAATTCTTATTGCTAAATAACATTTTTTATGCATTTTCAATATTTAAATACTTTTAAATGTAAATTATGCAATTTATATTATTGTATTTGTTTTTCTCAGTATCTTCAGGGGTAATAGGTGTAGTAAAAAGAAATCTGGATGAAACCTGAAAAAAATTGCAGTTATTAAGATTCAAGTTTTTAAAAGTTACTTTTACAAAAGTTACAATTGTTTTAGTGGAATTTTATGCAGAAGTTATTACTGCGGAATTGCGTTTATCAAAAGTTTGCAGTTAACAAGAACTCGCTAATTGACTTCAATATAGTCGGTGGGGTAAAAAGAAATCTATTATTTTCAAATAAAATTGAAGAGTAATTTTCCATAGTTAGAATCATTCAATTTATGTTAAATATGCACCGTTTTGTTCGATAATTTGTTGCCATTTTGAAGGTAATTTCATTATACCTCTCTCATAATCATAGAAGACCTCGTCCCTATTGGTAAAAAATTGAAACAGTGGATTTAAACAAACGTCTCTGAAAACTATTTCTCACAACGATTTTTGGATTTTTTTGCGCAATCTTTAGCTCTTGAGTAATCGAAACAGAACTCACATCACTCATCGATATTTTCGACATTTGGCTTTCTGTGACAATTTGCGTAATGCAACTTCGACATCGAAATTATCGGAACGGAATCGACAAAGTTAAAACTGTTTCAATTTCAGTATCAGGACCATAAACACTAATCACATTTTTAGCCGATTGGCTTGCGTTTTTGCGTTTATCAAAGAAGAACTTGAATATATGGGGTATTTTCTCTTCGCTAGTATCCATCTTTGACGTGCGCTCAAACAAAACTAAGTTAACCTATACCAAACTCTTAAAAGTTCTTTTTAGTATGAAATCTCATATTTTCTAATGCCATCTAGCGCCACCCGATCGGACTTATACAATCCAGGATACAGATAACTAAAACCAACTATTATGAAAATAATGGATTTCTTTTTTCTACCTTTTCTAAGGTACCAAAATATTACTTATCTTCCTTTTTCTCTTTCGCTATACTTAATTTTCTCAGAATTGATTAGTCTATCATTGATTTCTAGTAATACAAAAAAAAAAAAAGATGTATTTTACTTCGCTGAAATTCTGGTACGACTAAAATATAACATTATACATAAAAGGGCTTAACACCAATGAAGAAGTCATATACAGAATCATAAAAGTCACAAGTTTTTAAGAAAATCCCATTATTAACTCAACAATATTTATTAAATTTAAAAGTGAATAGATTGATTATTTTATCTGCAGGCTAATTCAGAAAATTATATCATATCCTCCATTCCAAACAAATAAAAATAGTTTAACTATAACTTAAAACTTTAAGACTATCATCTCAAAATGTTTTACCCAAAATATATTTTAAAATAATAGAAAACGATTTAATGGATGTTAATTAGTGGTTGTCATGGCTTCAACGCAATCGATATGAACATATGCATCTGTAGCATGAATTTATATTAAATTTTGAGAAAGTGATGGAACCAAATCATCTTTGCGGTAATATAATAGCCTGTAAGGATTTTTTATATTAAAAATTTTGTTTCGCAAATACAAAATGCATGATAAATCTAATAAAATGCTGTGTTATGCATTAAAGTGCATAATATGGGAAACAAAAACAAATCGTTACTGCAAGATACTTCCAAATGCTCTCTTCGTCAAAAATAACCGTACCAATCTGAGTGTGTCAATAGGGCTTTTCCAATCGCCTTTGAGGTTGATTAAGAATATTGAAAAATATTATAAAACTAAAAACACTTTTGCAGTTGATAGAAAAACTATTTTCAGAACGCGTTTAGAATTTTAAATAATTCCACAACTAAGCGATACATTCAGTATCGAACTGTGTAGTCGTATAAGCACAGGAGT